TTAACGTGCCGTCAAAAATGCTGACAGTGCAAAGATTAGAACAAAAAAATAAATCATGAGATCGGGGACCAGACTGAATTATTTGACAGCTGTAAGAAATGCTGCCATCTCCAGAAAATAGACTGATATTACACAAGAGAGAGAGAAAAAAAAAAAAAGTATTTAGACCAGAGAGCAAAATTAAACCTGGGGTTTAAGAATTTGGCTTTGCTAGTCCCCAGATGGTGCAAATAGCAACGTTAATATCTCCTATGGTCACCTACTAGCAAGGAGTGACCATGAGTTAGCTGTTCCTCATGGGAGCAGAAATAGTGAGGGGCGTGTGCGTTGCTTTCTTTCCCACTGGATGGGATGCTGTGATGGGACTGCAACACTTGGTGGGTGATGTGGTGGAGAAGGGCTGAAAGGCCTTTGGCTCCCATCTATCCCATGAAATAAAATAGATCCAAAGCATGAATGAGCACCCAGACTGAGCTAGGCTCAGCTGCAGGAACATGAGAGACAAGAATCAGCTGCAAGAATTGCATGGTGTCAAACCTTTTTCTTGGCCAGAGATGACCTGACTCAATGGGCATGCAGTGGGGTTAGGTCAATTAATATACGTTGAGGAGCCTTCTCCACATGGAGCCATTTGCTAGGGTAACTGCCTGAAATAGGGGTAAAGCCACACTGTCCTGCGGCATTAATTATTCCGACATTCATCCTCCTGGAAGCCCTGGGAAGAAGAATTTTTGCTTTTCAGTAAATGGTGTTAAATTGTGTATTTGTATGTATGCAAGTGCTTTCAAATGCAAAGAAAACAAAATCTGAAAACCTCTGCAGAAAAGTGCTCTGGAGGGCTTCCAGCTGGTTTGAGGATTTGAAGAGCCTGTTATAAGATGTACCTTCAAAAGATCAATTTAAATGCTGCCTGCTTTATACTCATTGTTTATAAAGTTGAAAGCATCTCTGATCGTGACTATTCATTCTCACAGCAGTTGCATGCAGAGCAGAAGCAGGTTGGTTTAACCCCATCCCTGCCATGTTCTGGAGAGGCAGAGCGAGCAGGTGGCTGTGCAGAGAGGACCTCAGCTCAGCACAGGCACTGAGGGACTGGTGGGGCAAGAAGTTGAGTTCTTGGATTAATCAAGTCTTTCAGCACCTGGCAGGATGAGTCCACTAGGGAACTACATTGTTTTGTGTGCAGGAGACACACCTGTATGTGTCTAACCGTGTGTTGTATAACATCAAGTTGCACGGTTCTGTCTGCTGTGGGAGCATCATCTTGTCATCCTGCAGAGGGGTTTGCCATGTTCCCTCTATTAAAATGGAGAAGGCCCCTGGAAGATGACCTAGAACTAAGGAATGGCTGACATATGGATGTCCTCAGGACAACTAGTGCCAACTATCCTGGGGCAGCGTCCATCGCTGAGTGCAGGAAATGCCTTTACAGTCCTCCTTGAGCTCTGTGGTTGTAAAAGATGGCCCCAAACTCTGCCATAATACCAGATTCATTCTGTTCTGTTGTGCGAGTCTGGAACCGTGACCCAACGTTTGGCTCGAACGTTTGCTGCCTAAGGATGCTCTCACGGGTGGTCAGCAAGTCGTCTGTTATCTGTCTGCAAGGCAGGCAGGGTGAAGGTGAGGGGCTCTTCCCAGCCTCCTTCAGAGCTGTGTAGGTCTCAGCACTGAGGAACAGCATTCCTGTTTGTTTGCTTAGCATCCCCGAGCTAGGACCATCGCAGAGGATAATGGCATGATGAAGTCATGCCATCTCAGCTGCCACATCTTGAGAAATACCCACTTAACCCCCTCTCGCCTGCTCCGGGTGCTGACGGATTTCAGAGCCTGGCAGTAACAGACAGGAGCCATTAAGTAAGTCTCCCAGGACAAGAGGAAGTGTAGATCATAGCCTGTCTGCAAACACGTCCTCCGTGCTGCTCTAACCCTTTAACCTCCAGCACACTGTTGAATTTTTGGTGGTTTTGAGCATGGGTTTCAGCGCTTCCCATTTTTAACATGTTGTACAGCTCTGTAGATCTCAGGCTTAGGAAGCTGTCTCAAATAATTTGTTGCAACTTACAGTACTTGGTTATATCTTGCTACTCATAATGACGTACTTAGGGCTGATCTCAAGCAACTTTTCTCCATGGACCATTCCAGACAACTGACCTTTGTAAGAAGCAAGGGGAACTTCCAAGTCTCAGAGCAGAAAAGTCAGAGTGATGCCATCTTTCTTTTCAATAGTGTTTACGTACCACTCTATAGCCCCTGTGTGATAAGGTGCAGCCAAACTCTACAAACTTTCCAGGGAAACCCAGGGGTTTTCTCCTTCTCAGTCCACTGAAGCTGAATCTGGCCCATTTGAGAACCCATGAAGTTTCTTCTGTCCCCGTGTGACACATTTGGCTGCTGGTCTGTTGTTGGCTAAATCTCATCATCTCCTGTTCAAGTGTGTTCCTGAAGGGGGTCCTGAGCTAACCTTGCTTCCAAGATAAATGCATTTCTATACTAAATCATAGAATCATAGAATGGTTAGGGTTGGAAGGGACCTCAAAGATCATCTAGTTCCAACCCCCCTGCCATGGGCAGGGAAATCCTCCACTACACCAGGTTGCCCAAAGCCTCATCCAGCCTGGCCTTGAACACCTCCAGGGATGGGGCATCCACAACTTCTCTGGGCAACCTGTTCCAGTACCTCACCACCCTCAATGTAAAAAATTTCTTTCTTATATCTAACCTAAATCTCCCCTCTTTCAGTTTAAATCCGTTGCCCCTTGTCCTATCACTACACACCCTTGTAAAAAGTCCCTCTCCAGCTTTCCTGTAGCCCCTTTAGGTACTGGAAAGCTGCTATAAGATCACCCCAGAGCCTTCTCTTCTCCAGGCTGAACAGCCCCGACTCTCTCAGCCTGTCTTGATAGCAGAGGTGCTCCAGCCCTCGGATCATCTTCACGGCCTCCTCTGGACTCGTTCCAGTAGCTCCATGTCCTTCTTGTGTTGGGGACTCCAGAGCTGAACACAATATTCCAGGTGGGGTCTCACGAGAGCTGAGTAGAGGGTCAGAATCCCCTCCCTCGACCTGCTGGCCACACTGCTCTGGATGCAGCCCAGGACACGGTTGGCTTTCTGGGCTGCCAGCGCACATTGCCAGCTCATGTTGAGCTTCTCATCCACCAGCACTCCCAAGTCCTTTTCCTCAGGGCTGCTCTCAATCCATCGCCCATCGCCATTTGGCCTTCTCACTTGCTTAAACTGACTTCTGTGCACAGACCTCTGCAGATGCAAGACCTTCAAACTGAAAACCTGCACCCATTTGGTTGATTGGCAAAAGATGTATTCGTTCCCTGGGAAGCCAGATCTGGCCCTGTGCTTGGTGGGGTTTCCAGCCAGACATCCGTTTAAATGAGAGTACTGTAATTAAAAGGATCTGGCTAAAGAAATTGCACAAATTAGAGCAGACAGCTGTTATTTGAAAGGAACAAACACTTGGTTTTTCAAATAGCCAGCTCTTGGCTCGCTGCCAGAGATGCTTACATTAGATCTTATGGATAAAAACCTTCCTTTAACTGTTAAAAATATAAGTGAAAAGAACTCTATTTCCCCCTCCCCCCAAAAATTTGATGGGCTATATGCAACAAAGGGAAGATATTCATAAACTCTATCATAGCATGGAGATTACTAACCTCAGATATGTACAGAACAGAGAGGCTTTTGAGAAGAAAAAAAAAACAACAAACAAACCAACCTGCAGCCATTTTATTTTATTCATACATTTATGCACAAAAGCTGAGATTCCCAAAAGAAAAGTTTAAACTGGGAGCATAACTTATTGAACAGATGCTCTTCTTCCAAAAAAAGGCACTCCTGCTGCTTTGTAGGTGCAATTCAGTGTGGAAGGGATCAGTCTGAATCAGGCTCGAGCTTCTGTGAGGACCTGTTGGTGAAGTTACGGCTCATGAAGCAGCGAGGGGATCCATGTGGTGTACATCAGGGACTGGAAAAGAAACCTTGGTGATCGGTTCTGCTCTTTATTCAACACAGAGGTTCTCCTTATCCTTCCTATGTACCAGGAGGAGAGTTTTCTATGGCCCTGGTTGAATGGCTGATGATTGCATGCAATTGGAGACAAGGACTGGATCTTTTTCCAGGCTTCTCTGGTATTGCCTCATCCCTGGAAGTGTTCAAGGCCAGACTGGATGAGGCTTTGAGCAACCTGGTGTAGTGGAGGGTGTCCCTGCCCATGGCAGGGGGGTTGGAACTAGATGATCTTGAAGGTCCCTTCCAACCCAAACCATTCTATGATTCTATGCAAGCACTCCATGTGCGTCCAGAAATGTGATTAATTCATTAATCTTCCCACTAGCAAGTTATGTCCTGCCTTGTTTAATAAAGCAACTTTCAGGCTTAAAATCAAATGTGTGCTTAAAACAGATTGCTGCATCTGGCCAGTGTCTCTCATAAGTTCAAAAAGTCAGACCCATGTGCCTCCACAGAAGATGTTCAGGAATGCAGGTAACACTAGCTTGAGATCATTCCACTGGATGGATATTGCACTGGGCTGGGAACCAGAGACCTGGGATTTAATTCTGCCTCTTCCACTAATATTGCACTGGGCTGGGAACCAGAGGAGACCTGGGATTTAATTCTGCCTCTTCCACTAGTGCCCCAGGAAACTTGTCCATCTGTCCTTCTGTTACACAGGCATGGTAGAGTTACTCATCCCCTTCTAGCAAGCCTTGAGGTCTACTGGTAAAAATCGATGTCACCAGCTGGTTGTTAAGTGGATTTGCAATGTTTGCTAATGCTGTTTGTACAAATCAGAGCAGAGAGGGTGAGTACAGGCTTAGAGAACAAAAAGGAGAAATGAGGAATCTGAAAAAGAAACTGCTTTCTTTACAAAACCCCCGCTGTAATCTTTTCCTTCCTCTTTTTGAGTGCTTTCTGAGTGTTTTTTGGGTTTTTTTTACTTTTATCTCGCTGTGCCCCATCCTTTATTGTGATTTTGTCTCGTTCTCTAGGAAAACCTCTTTTTTGTGATGGAATACCTCAATGGAGGAGACCTCATGTTCCATATCCAGAGTTGTCATAAGTTCGACCTCCCCAGAGCAACGTAAGATGTTATTATTACCTTTTGGCTTGCAGGTCGCATGCATGGTAGAAGCAAAGGCAGCAGCTGCAGACACCAGGGATCTTGGTTTTATTCCCAGCTCTGCTACCGTCCTGTGGAGGAAACCTTGGGCAAATCATTTGACCTTTCTGCACCTTACCCAGTTGCAAAGTGGGGATAATGCTTGTGCTGGAAACAGAATCACTCTCTAGCCCAGCTCTCTCCAAACTGAACAAAACAGACATGCAGGTCATCACCCCGACTCAACGATGGACTTGGAGCAAGTCACTTCCTCTCCTTGTCCTCCTTCCGCTTCCACAGAAGGCTTTTTGGAGCCCATCCACACAGTTGATTTCAGTCAGACGTGACTTTGCTTTGCATTTTGGCCAACCAGGGAAGCTGTTTCTGTCTGGAAACATTACAGGCACTCCTACACCCCTGTCAGCATTGCATCTGCCTGCAGACTTATCCTTTAGCCTGCGAGCCAGTGACCTCCTTCTAGGCTGTGACCTGACTGCCGAATTTTGCGCTAACCTCAGCATAGTCCCACAAACATTTGTTCAGAGCCGAGAGCTGAGCTGGGTAGAAGTTGTCCCTTAGGCTGCCCTGCTTGCTGGATTAGTCTCCTTCCCAGAACTGCATCCCTCAAGCAGAGAGGAGCTCCAGAGGGACCATTCAACCTAGCTGAGACCTTACCTCTGGAAGTGTCTCCACGGTCTATAAAGAGCCCCAAGCATGCCTAAGATCTTATTTATATGGGCCATGGATGAGGGTCATTTTAAAGCAACCTACAGGTGACTGCTGTGAAGGACAGAGGCCCTGGGGTTGCCCTTTGTTGTACTTGTTGAGTTCTTGCTCAGCCCATAGTTGGAGGCCCCAAAAATGACATTGTGGATCCAGCCTCCACCCTACATTTACCATCATCAAAGAAATCCCATAGATGCATTTTCAGCCATCTGTGGAACCAAATATCTTGTTCTTTACAACACTGGGTGGCCTGTAGCTGAACTGCAGGACCTGCTTAAGCTGAGGTTCCCGGTCCAGTGATCAGAAGTGAAGCTATTGTTTGTCAGAAGTAATAGGATTTTCCTTTTTCCCCTTTAAGGTTCAAGGGGGGGAGGGGGAAAAAGAGTTAAAACCTCTCAAAAACGCAAACAGTAAATTTAAACAAAAAATTAATACACCAACAAAGAATTAAAAATTTATTTAGCTTTGATTAAAGTAAATAGAAGAATTAGAATAAATGAAAGGTGCTTTTAATCATTCTGCAAGCAAATGGTATTTTGAAAGTCAATATTGAAACCACTATAGGAATTAATTTTTATTTAATAATAATATAAAAAAAACCCAAAACCTCATTTAAATCAGTGTTTAATTTGATGATTTTTTCAAAAGCATTTGAATGTTCAGAATTAAAGGCTGATGCATTGAAGACTGAGGGAGCAGAGCCATACAGAACTGGAGGGGCGTATGATCTTGTGGTTAAATTCCCTTCTGGGAGAGCACTTGGATTGTGCGATGGAGTTTCAGACCTACTCTGCTTCTTTGCAGCAGGATGTGATGTTATCCTTCAGGCAGAAATGTGTTGAGAACAAAGATATCAAACTCGAAAACACTCCAGAGAAAGGCCACCAAGCTGCTAGCTAGTTCATATCTTGGATCAAATTCCAAAAGCAAGTCATAAATCTGAGCAGTGGAGAGGTCTGTTTGACAAGCCAAGGAGACTACGGTCTCCAAACCCAGATGCCCACCCGCCTGTCCCATTGCATTGTCACTTGCAGTTTGCAGTCTGGTGCATCTCATTAATTTACTCGAAATAAGTAATTAAGGGAGAGGCACAGACACCACCCGCTCTGCCTTCCTTGCGACAGGGACCACATCTTGAGGCGAGGCAAGGTAGGCAGTAGGAGCTGGGTGGTGGTTTTTTGCTCCGCAGCTGATCCAGAGACATGTGGCATGCTTTTGGGAATCTCACATGATCCATCAGTTACCTGTAAAACCCAGTTACCCCAAGCCTTCTGGAGACACTCACAGCCTTCTGGGAACTTAATGAAATTTGGGCTCCCGTGGAGACAAAGTTTCCATCTTTTTGGGTCTAGTTGAAAGCGCCTGTTGGGAAGCATCCATTCTAATTTGTGCCTTCCGTCACTCAGGTTTTATGCTGCTGAAATCATATGTGGGCTCCAGTTCCTCCATTCCAAGGGCATAATATACAGGTAATTTTACTCTTTAGTGTCTAACACGCTAAGGTTTACTTCTCTGCCTTTCCCCGCTTTCCCCAGAGACTGTTGCTTGGGTCTATTTACTGGTGTTGCATTTCTATTCAGATTTTCTTTTTTACAGAGTCTGGTTGTTTTATTTTGAAAAGATAGTGTAAAAAAGGCAGTTTTGAGCCCTTTTTGAGAATCCAGTCCTATTTCAGTGAACATTAAAGCAAGCCCTTTCATGCATTTACCCTGAGTCATTCATACAGAACCCAGCACAGGCACTCAGTTTAATCTTTCCGTGCATGAAGATATATAAGGTCAAGCTAGCCATGAGAAATTTGATATATCTACTGTGCTGGTTACCCTGGGACAGTAGTGTAACAAGCTCAGCTCAAGTAACAACAGCAGAGAGACAGTGATATACCTTCATTCTCGGGGTTATTAATAGGTCTGCTGTGCACAGTTCCATGGGGAGATGGGATTCATCTCACCTATCATCACGAATCTGAGCTAGCTGCTCAAGTTCTTCTTGTAGTAAGCAAAGAGGAGTGGGTTTCTTAAGGTTCATCAAACCTGTGTTAGAATGTGTATGAGAGGTGTCTGTTTCTACCAATTGGCTCTAGGGGGGTGGATGGGGACTAGGTGGGACACTGCAGGCAGCTGCTTTCAGACAGAAGAGTCTTCTCCCAGAGTTACTGGTATGAACTTAGTCCATAACACATCAATCTGTCAAATTCCAAGAAGTCCTCTACTTCAGAATTGCCTGTTTCAGCTTCAGCGTGACTTCCCTGGGAGCTTCAAAGTTATGCACGGATGCTTTGATCTAATACACAAATGTTGTGCTTCTATATAAAAGGACAGAGACAAGATGGGAGCAAGAAGTGCTGCAGGAATCAGGCCACAGTCTGCTTTCCCATGGCTGAAAGGAGGAACTGAATTTCTGGGGGGCTCTAGTCCAGTTCATCTTCATGGCAAAAGTCAGTTACTGCATTGCAGCCTTCTGTAAAAGCAGGAAGCAAATAACATCACAAAAAAAAATGAGAGGACTCACTAAAGCAAATATGTTTGCTGAGACCAAAATGAGCTTATTTCAATGTTTGTCATGTGGTGTGAATAAATGCTAAAAGTGAATGGCTTGTTTACAATCCACTCTCCCATTAAAAGGCAAGCTTTGATGCGTATAAACTTGGTTTATTATTCATTATTAGGACTCATGTGGGAGCCATTTATAGTCTTTATTGACCAATGATGGTGATTGCGTAAACGTGAGATCGATATCAATGGCATTAAGCAAAGATGATCTCTGGGGTCTCAGCAAGTTTCTGGCTCTAATTTTTGTTCTGGATGACTGAAGGGAAACATTTTCTGAAGTGCTCAAATCACTTTAGCCATGTCTGTCATTTGTACTCAGACTTGTCAGAAAAGTTGATTAAAAATATCTTGCAGGACATTGCGAGTTTGCGGCAGGACTGTTAATGATGACGTTTTGTTTATAATTCATATTTTTATTTGGAATTGCCACACCAGTAGTATGTCAGGGCTTGAGACCCATTTTCTCATGAAAGGAGAGAGATGTTCAGAGTCTGGAGCCTTGGGAAGCGTGGGCAAATTGGGATAGCTGACATTGGGCAGCATGGTGATAGGAAGAAGCAGCTCATTCCCAGGAGTCAGTGTGGCATTGCTTTGGGTATCAAGCTTTGAGAGGAAAGATTTAAGCAGTCCTACTCCTTTTTCCTTCTTCCACTGAAGACAATGACAATGAGGTCAGTCGAGAACGCACAGCCATCAGTATCTCAGTCAGAGCTAACTAAGCACTTAGGAAAGTGAATGGAAATCATTTTTGAAACTGCATCACTTGTGATGTAGTGAGAATAATGAATCCAGCTGTTCTGCCTCATGCACCCACGTTTGGAGAAGTTGGCTTAAATTTTAATGAATGAGCCGAGGCATTTTTGGCAGGAACTCCAATCCCTGGAGCCAATGAGTTTGAGACTCATCAAAACAATGAAAGCGAGCTGTAGGTGATGGGTTTTCTGTTTTGCTTCGATCTACTAGATGAATAAAAGCAGTACTGGCAGTCAGAGATTGATCTCAATGGTGTAACTAAAATAAGTCATTCCAGCTGGAAATTGTGACAACATGAGTGCCTGCCACTTGGAAAGCAAGTGTCTCAGTTGTCTCTATATTTCTTTTTGATTAATGACTTCCATTTTTTCTTGGACCATGTTCCAGCAGCAATTAACAGTTGCCCCATGACAACAATTCAGTGTGTAGACACTACCAGGTCCCCCACCCTGATTGGGACTGGGCTGAAGCAAGCCGAGGAGCTTTGCACAGAGAGAGCCTGAACAGCCATCTTTCCTGCAATTGTAGGTGATCATCTCATGACCATTATGCATTAGAAATTGCCGCCTTTGAGGGAGTCAAAGGCATTTCTGAAAAAAATCCACATTCTAAAACAGTTGTCACCAAGAGGGTAGCTATGTAGTAGCCTCGTGGTTAGGACTCGTGCCTGAGATGTGGAAAATGTGTGTAGGCTGTGGATCAGCAGAGGTTGGAAAAGACCAATTGCATCCTCAGCTGCAGGCACAAGCAAATGTTGTGTCTAGGTGCTCTGGGAGCCCTGAGAAGGAGCAGTGATTGATAGCACAGGATAGGCAGTGCAGGAACATGGGTGCTCTGAGACCAGGTAACCCAAATTCTACCTACATCCCAGGTGAAGTGCAGCATCACTGATCCAAACATCTCTCTGAGTCATTATTTCAATGAAAAGCAAGACTTTTAGGTAAGATATACGAAATTTAACACAGAAGCCATGCTAGCCTTCCTTTCTTTCTGCCTTCTCTTTCTTTCTTTACATGCTTTCAGAGGTTGTTCCCACGTGAAGACCTCTTTGTTCTCTGCCAGTGGCCATGATTCATCAGCTCACTTGCTTTTATTTCCTTCTCTGTGCATTTTTTTTTTTTTTCTCTCTCTGGGCTCTTTGCTTCCCACAGTACCCAAGAGCCCGAAACCTCTGACAACAGCTTGGCAGCTGTGTGTGAAGGGCTTCGTAAATCCCCAGGGCTCAGATGGTGCAGCCCAGCAGTGAAGAGGTGGTGGATATTCTGCTGATGTCTGGGATTATTCTGACCCTCTGCAAGCCACACAGGGCTTGCAGGTCCTTACCTCTTCCAGCATTTGTAGATTTATAGCTCTCTCTGGAGCTTCAGAGAGAGTACTGAGACTCCCAGGGAAGGCGAAAATGAGCCATTAGCTGGTCCCTCTTGCTCACCTTCTCCAGGCTGTGTTAGGGCATAAGCACCAGCTGGCGCAAAGCCCTTTTTAGCTTCGCTATTCTGCATCCTCGAAGGAGGCAGCTTTTAGAAGATGTCTTGGGTAAAGTCTTCTCCAACAAATGAATCAATGCTGGGGCAGGAGAAACGAGGAAGAGGGATATAGGCTGCCCAGGGAGGTGGTTGAGTCCCCATCCCTGGATGTGTTTAAGAATAGAGTGGATGGTCTACTTAGCGATATGGTTTAATGGGGATTAGGGACAGTTGGACTCGATGATCTCTAAGGTCTTTTCCAACCTGGAAATCTATGAATCTGTGAATATTGAAGTCCAAGAGAGCAGGTCATCATTCAGCCCTCAGCCTTCCTTTGTAGTTGCAACATGTAGGCACCACATAGAGGCAGACAGCAAGTTAATAAGTGTAACCTGCTGAAATAAGTTGTGTGGCTCTGTAGCACTTTAAAGGAGGGGTTTTCTTCTCTTCCTCCGCAGAGATTTGAAGCTAGACAACGTCCTCTTGGACAATGAGGGGCACATCAAAATTGCTGACTTTGGGATGTGCAAGGAGAACATGTTTGGAGATGCAAAGACAAGTACTTTCTGTGGGACTCCCGACTATATCGCTCCTGAGGTAGGTGTGGGGTCCAGGGACGTCGGCAAGCTGCTGTGGGACAGAGAATGTGTATTGAGACATGACTGTCAGCCATGTGGTGAAGGGTGCAGTGTAATAACCTGCTTTTGAGCAGTTACAGGCTAGAAACTGGATTTCAGTCTGATTCAGAGTCTGTGTTGCTTGTCTGGCATTGCATATTTTTGTGACTAATTCATTTGTTGTGCAAATGGGCCTGGGAATCAAGTGGTGCTTGGCTTAACCAAGAAATAGAATGCTTAATGGATATCCAGTTTGGGCCATGACAGAAGAAGCTCCAAGAGGTAGGTCCTGCAATTCAGGGACAGAAACAGCATAAGGAATGAGAAGAATGTTCCCTAGCTAGCTGCCAGTAGGCTTCCATGGCTGTTCAGGCTCCTTGATAGCTGGTAGGGAGCTATGGGAACTTCCAAGGAATGATGTTCATCACAGCCTAAGAGAGAAAATAGAGAAAGGTGGGATGAAATGCCCACCTGGAGCTGATTTTCCCCCCTCATTGATTAACCACCTTTTAGATAAAGAGAGGCTGGGTCCACAATAAAGTGGAGATTGGAGTTCACCTTCCCTTTGGAATATGTTCTGATGCTTGAATAGGGATGATACCCATAAGCTTGGACTTCTCTCTTACTCAGAGAGGTTCTTAGCTGGCTGCAAAACCAGCCTGCATCACGAGCATCCTCCCAGAGCTGAGTAAAGCACCATACGCTCTAAAAAGGCTCTGCATCAGAGGCATAATCTTAAAACTGAGCACAGGCTTGAAGATCTGTCTAGATAAAAAAACAACCAACAGCTGCTTGTAAAAGGGATGGAGATGCTTGGAGACATAAACATGAGAGTGGTCATACATCCTGACTTTTCCCCTCTAAATGCCAGCAGTCAGAGGAGAGGTGTTGCTGTCTAGAGGACAGCTGGGACCTGACCTGCTAACTCTGGTCTCTGGACTATCTGCTTCTCTGCTTTGGCTGTGCATGGTGCCAGAGCACTTCATGTCACTGCATGAATCCATCCCTGGAGGACATGCCTCCAGAAGTTGCTTCCTGGAGAAGGAGGTTCTAAACCTAGAGATGATGGAGTTGTATCAGGGCCAGGCTGTGCTCGAGCCAACAAGGGTAAGGCAGAGCTTGTAGCTTTCATTAGGCTCCTGTTCTGTCCCCTTGGCTCAGGAAGGCTGGGGCTTGCATGGAGATGATCTCCAAGCTCCATACAAAATCATACCAACAGATCCTCTTGTCCTTCTGCAGTTGGTATCTACTGATACTTAGTGGAGAAAAGCTAAACCTGGCCTCAATGTGCCCATGCCATGAAACTGGGTGGTCGCAGACATGAGACCACCAGATTTCAGCTTGCCCATAGCAAGATCCTTTGTCCTTCCCCTTATTTCTTTCCATTCATTCCCAGACAGAAACTTGCTCTATTTTTTTTTTTCCCCTAGTAAATTTAGATATTTTGGACTAAATCCCTCCAGCAAGGAGAAAAAGCTCCCTTAACCTGGTGACTTCACACAATGATAGATCTTACTATGGAGAAGCTTTGACTAATTAGGTGGCAAATTGTGGCCAAAGAAAACATTTTTCAGCTCAGAGAAGAATCCATGCATCATGTCTGACATCACTCTGAAATCCATTTATTTGCCTTTCAAGATCCCATTTCTTGATTTTATCGTTTTCATGATGGATATTGGTACTTTCCAAACAGCTTTTAAAGCTTTTGGGTTTTTTCCTCTCCACTATAATTCATTGATCTTTTACTGTGCACCAAGGGCTCGGTTCTGATCTAGGTTGCACCACTGCTGACACAAGGGCTGATCTCTTCAAATCAATTGGATTTGTATTGCCTAAGAGCAGGTGTAAGTGTGCTCTGCAATCAAGCTGCAATTGAAAAAAAAAAAAGCTATTTTGTGATCCTAAAAAAAAAGAGAGCTGAGCGATAATACATTACCTATGATTTTATTTCATGGAAGAGAGAGAGACTAAAATAGCTCAGAGTTTTATTTCTGCATCATCATTTATTCTAGAGATCCAACGAGTGCATATAAACATTTTACCTCTAAATTGAAAGCACGGCTGGAGTTTACGGATCATCTCTCCTGCCAGAGGCAGGAGCACTGGACTTTTTGTTGGTATTTCAATGCCACTGTAATTTGTTACAGACCCAGCACCTCGGCTACAGCCTGCAAATAAGGAGACTTTGAGTCAGTAGAAATTTTTTTCACTTCAAAAAGTATTTGACCAAAAAAACCCCAAAAACTTAACCTGAATTGAAATTACTGAGTTTATTTTTTCCAGAGAATTGAAAAGCTGATAAATCTTTCCTTTGACTGCCATAAAACATTTAATTTCAATTTCCAGATATTTTATACTTTAAAAGGTAAAGCCTTATAAAAACAACATGTCTTTTCAGAAGGAAAACTTGGGATGATTTTGTTTGTAAGTGATCCAGAAGAAATGTATTAGGGAATCTTGCTGATTCCTTTTCTTTAGGCTCTCAGTGAAACACTTTGCTTATATTGTGTCTTATATTCAAATAGCTTTTTTGTCCTTTTTGTGTCTCCTCTTTTGGCATTTTTGGAGACAGATGTGTTAGTCATGAGCACTCTACATGAGCTTGGGTTTCGACTTCTGATATTAAAGTCCTGCTTTGCTGGATACCACAGCTACATCAGAGGGGATTGCTTCTCACCCAATGCGAGAAAATTTGTCTAAAAATGAAGCATTAGTTGGCACTTTATAGTGCTGTAGAAGGACAAGTATCCCAGAAACACGTCATCCCTTTCTGTTGTGTGTGAGTGAGTTAAATCATCATTTTCCCCCCACTGATTATGGAGACACTCTGGATAACTGAATTAATAAGACACATAACTTTTAGGTAATATGATGAATCTGGGCCCAAGTGGCAGTTGACAAGCAATGATGACAAGGTATGAAAACAGTCAAGAAATGACTCACCCACTTCCACTGTATCTCAGAGCCAGCGGTAAAGATCACCTCTTTAAATCATAATTTTTGAAGTATCAGTGGTTTCATAGATACTGATCTGGACAGTTGTTTTCACTGGTATTAAGCCATCTCCAGGGCTTTTCATTGATACCTACACCATAGCTATAGCATAGGGCATCACACTGCAACCAAGCTGTGGGCTCAAGAGTAAAGATTATGCCTTAAAATGAGCTATTCCCCTCTCCAGCTCTAAAATCTTGATAAGGATCCTAGACATCATAGTCATCACGTGTACCTTTAGACATCTGCAATGTAAATATCTGCATATCAGCAAGTTGTCTAGGCTCCTTGATAACCAAAGGAGACAAATAGAGCGTTGCATTTTACAGCAGGTAGACACTTAGCTGGATGTCTAAAATTGGACTAATTCTCTTCCTTGACTATAAAATGAGCTAATGATAACTGGTTCAGCTCTAGGTATCTCTGTAACAAATATCTAAAGGCAGATGAGATTAATTTTCCTTCCCCAGAGAGTGAGTTTGAGAACTTGGTAGTGTCTGGCCAAGTATGTAGGGGAGGAAAATGCCACCTGCTGCCTTAGGAGACATCATCACTCCAGCTGAGCCTCTCTGGACCCCACATACTGGATGTAGACTTCACTTTGTAGCTGACACAGAAGGACATAAACCAGTGGACTGACTGAGGACAAATTCCTATTCCTCTACTTCTAACTCAGTTGGTCTCAAGAGGACAGATCAGCAACCACTTTCTCATGATTTTCGTGGTGCAGATTTTACTGGCATAGATTCACACCATTTCTACTGACTGATAGTCCCAAAGTATCTTTAAACTACCACACTTGTAAATTTAAAACGCAGCTTGTGTGAGTTAAATCAGCCCCAAAATGTTAATGCCTAACCATTTGTCTCCTTGGACTTCACAAGCCTGATTTGAACCCTTGGGATGACTTGGAGAACAGGCAAAAGATGGCTTGCCTCACTTTTTCTGTTTGAGATATCTCTGATAGCCAAGGATTTGTTCAAGTAACTTAAGAGTTACATGCAGCCTGTTATCTGTAGTGCGAAGGCCTGTTTTGGCACCCAAGGGTGGCTGTGACCTGGAGCTCCTTGAACCACAACCTCTGCACTATTGGCAGATGCTCTGGCTCATGCTGCAGGCAGGGGGAAGCACCTCTGCTATCCCACTTGGTGCAAAGTGGCTGTCGAAAGGTCAGGATCTGGCCACCCTTCTGAAGTTGAAACACTCATGTCAGATGTTTTGCATCTGTCTTTGTCGCTCCTCTCTTCGGGCAGATATTGCTGGGGCAGAAGTACAACACCTCCGTTGACTGGTGGTCCTTTGGTGTCCTCTTATATGAGATGCTTATTGGCCAGTCTCCTTTCCATGGCCAAGATGAAGAGGAGCTTTTCCAGTCTATCCGTATGGATAACCCGTTCTACCCTCGCTGGCTTGACAAGGATGCAAAGGACATTTTGGTGAAGGTAAGAATTACCACACGTCGAACAAAAGTCTTTTTTCCAGAACTGTCATCTTGATTTGTGCATCTTCTGCTATTGTTCGGAGAAAGAAATTTAGTGTGATAGGACTAGAAGGAGGCACTTTCTTGTCTGTGGACCTCAAAGCTCACCTGACCTAAGTCATAAGGCCATCTTTGTGTCTTCTTTCTCCTGAGTTGTGGTGATGGCTCCTCACATCCAGTAAGTAGAATCACAGAGTATCAGACACCAGCAGAGATCAGTTTCTTTGCAGAGAAATAATCCCTAAGGTGCAAGCGTGTTAACTCATGGAAAAGATACTCTGCTAGGCTTCAGACTAAGGGTTACAGTGACTTCCTTGATAATTATGGCTTCAAAGCTGCCATCGGAGATAAGAGGACATCTAGGGTAGATGGCTTTGGTGTTCATCTTGATTTTCAGTAGAGAATGTTTGACGACTTTGCACTGAGATAAAGAGCAGGAAAACAAAGCCTGAGCTGAGTCCTGAAGTGGTGGAACTACTCAAGCTAGTAGCACTATGTCGTCTGGATTTTTGGCCCTTTGAATCTCCTACGTAGCAATGCATAGTGTTCTTTCTGAGTGGAGCACTCTTCTGTTTCCCTGTAATGGGCATTCTCCTCATCTTTTAGGTTTCTTTCCATTAATACACCGATTTTTTTCATTGCCTCCTCCTCAGCCCCATGCCATTTGGCATTGTAGCCTTTCTGGCTTGGGATGCAAATTATTCTAGAGTTGCAAGGTAAAAATGCAATGAAGTCACAACTAATCTCACAAGTTACCTCCCCTCTGCTGGGCTTCGGACTGACCTTGAAAATGCTCTCAGCTAAGGCATTTTGACTCAAAATGGAGCATGGTGAGAGAGCATGTACAGAGGCTTGTAATGACTCAGCTGATGTGAGCTAACTTCTTCATCACAAGATTTTGGTCATATTTGACCTACAGTCCCTACCTTGACTTTTGCATTTACAAAGCGACAGGACAACATACAACATTCCGCTACAAAAAGGTGGAGAACAGGAGATTATTTTCACACCTGTGCTGTGCGCAACAGGGCTCAGATGTTTAAGCATCACAATAAAATTATAATAATGAAAACAATCAAAATCAGTTGTTCAGGAACACGTACCGTAGCAGTCTGAGATTTTGAACATCTATATCTGGGACATACACTGCCATCTTTCTGCGCTAACAACCTGCACTTCTGTCAGATTAGAGATAGTAGTCATCTTTATACCAATCAATAAACTTCTTTGCTTAGGGAAAAAAAACACAACATTTTCTCCATTATAATAGGCTATTCTTATTGCCACTGACTCTGGATAATTACATATTCCACCCTGCTTAATGCCTATATTATCAGCGCATCATTTAAGCTATGGAATCTGCACTTCTGTGTAATCAGTTGTGTCTGGGACATTTCAGTTTTGGTTCACCAAAACCCAATGCCTGAGGTTTTTTCAAACAGGCCCTCAATGGTTCATCCATCAGATTCTTTTGCTGCCACTTTCAGCATTAGACATTTCTATTTGTTCTTTGCTGAGTGGTATCTATTGTGTGCTGACTGTTGGCCAAATAAAGCAGCAAGAAACTTCTGCCATATGCAACCCAAGTCCATTTTGAGATGACCTCCAACAGCAAAGTGCTTCTGAAAATTCGCCCATACTTCTGAAGTAGGACATATTGGCTGTATTCAGGTCACCTGCTATCAAGTGTTGCCACTGTTCCTCTCCATTGACTTTAGAGGGATCTGGGGTCTGGCGTGCCATGGGCCAGCTAGCCCGAAGGCCCCAGTCATTTCACTGCAGATGTAAAGATGAAATTTGAACTGTTCACACCTGCCATTACAGCAATATTTCAGCACTACATCCTGCTCACGAACGTTGAGAGGAGCTCTGAAGCTTTTAACACTCGTGAAACTCTCCCCCAGTAACACTTCGGGTGCTTCCAGAGCCAAATGGCTCCTGCACCACCGTAAAAACATCTATGACAAAACAGGCTATGTTTACACTAAACTGAAGAGTGGGCTCCCACCTGCACGTAGCTGATGGTGAAAAGATATGCCCCCACTTCTAGCTGTTCCCTATCTTCAGCAGAATTAGTCTTCCACAGGACTTGTAGGAAGTGTGCAGCAAACACAAGCTTTTGACAAAGCAGACGGTTGTCAACATCTCAGCTGGTCAGTGGAGAGGAGCAAACACTTCCAGGGTGTCTTTTATCTCATTTTTAAGTATCTAAAAGAGGTCAGATCATTCTCACCTGAGATGTCAGGGTCAAGTACTGACACTCCAAGTGCCCGAAGTTATAGGACATGAATGTAACCCCAAATAAGCCAGACTAGTATTTTCAGAAATTATGCTTATATTTCAACTGTAAAAAATTTCCTGATAACAAGAAATTGCCCAGACAAAAGCTTGCAAGTGTGATCCAGATAGATAGTTCACCAGTGTAGTTGCATGCTCAGACACATATGTTGTTGCCACTGTAGCAAATTTGTCTCCTGCAAACGAGAAAATGGCCAAAGTCTCTCAGTTTTGACATATTAAGCTAAGAATCTGAAGTGGTTCCTCGATCAGAAATTTAGTAAGTTAGAAGAGTCTTCACATTCTCACCAACCATGCTTGAGTTTGAAGTCTGAGGTTACATCTGGTAAGACTGTCTTAATGAATATACTGTTATTGATAAAATGTTATTGTCTTTCTTCAACATTCTAGCTTTTTGTGAGAGAACCTGAGAGGAGACTGGGAGCAAGAGGGAACATCCGCCAGCATGCCTTTTTCCGGGAAATAAACTGGGAAGCTTTAGAAGAAAGAAGGATGGAACCTCCTTTCAAACCAAGAGTGGTAAGGATGAATCTTCTTTCAGTTACACCCATCACGTGTCTGTCTTTCTTGATAAAGGTGGATAAATGTCTGCTTCACACTGGAACTAACAGTTTTAGGGATCAAGTGTAGGCTTTCAAAAGGCCCTCAAACTTTCAGGGTTATCTTCTGGAGCTGCTCTGCACATGCAGTCTCTCTGTCTAAAAGTAGATGGAGGGCCTTGGTCTTGGGCAGTCAGAATGGAAAGTGTTGACTCTTACTTAAATGTCTGAAAGCAGATTAAAATGTTGACAGTTTTCTGGTATGTTGTGTACTTCAGATACAAGCAGCTGAAACCATCTACAGTTTGTTCTGCCACAGCGTCCAGTCATTGCAAAGATGATTGTGAACCATGTACCTCTATTGGTTGGTCTACCTGGCTTGGTAATCAGGACTACTCCTTTCTGATGGCTATAAACCCGAGTATGGCATGTCCAGATCTGAGAAATCATAAATTAGACATCACTTTCTCAGTTACCATAGCAAGGGGGCTGGATGGCGCTTAAAACACTTTCCCTTCCACACAAGTACAGCCTTTTCTGTAGGGATTATATTTCATTGCAGTGCAGAAGGTAAAGAAGGGAAAGCAGTTCAGGTAATGATGTGGTCAGCTAAGTCAGAATGGTCCTGGCTATCAGTAACAGTCCTATTAAAGTCCTATTAATAGCAATAATCTAATTTAATTTGACAAGTGCACCGTACTTTCATTTTACAGTCCTTCACAAATGTTATTTAATTGATGGGTCCAATCAGCTGTGTTACAAAGCTGTAACACCCCTACCTGGCAGAATTAATGGATCACAAGCTCAGTGCCTGCTATATAATACTTATTCCCATTACTACTTCAACAGGATGGTAATAAACAAGTGATTAGCACTGGCTACCGGGTATTAAGAGCTCAGACAGAAGTTCACCACAGTTTGACATGTTACTGTGCATCGTTTGGGCTGGAGTGACTAACCATTGTGCAAAAGGCCAAGAGCAAATGCATTGTGGGTTCCCTGGCTGAGCTGAGCTTGCTCCCAACTAGTTGAGCTGAGCCCATAGGAAGCAGTCCTATAGGGCCACGACCATTGCAATCAAGATCTGAGTATTAGTGGTCTGACATTAATTTTTTTTTTTCCTTTTCTTGAAGAAATCTCCGAGTGACTGTAGCAACTTCGACAAGGAATTTCTAAATGAGAAACCTAGACTGTCCTGTGCCGACAGAGCACTGATTAACAGCATGGACCAAAATATGTTCAGCAACTTTTCTTTTGTGAACCCTAAAATGGAGAAAATATTTTCGTGAGATCTGCCTTACTGAAGAGATTCTCTGTAATGGTTTGAGTAACACTTTGTCAACTGAAGACTATGCATGGTTATTTTTATCAACAACCCATCAAAAAAAAAAAACTCTCTGAAAGTCTGTACCATGCCTGGAGGCTTCCAGCTTACTCCAGTCTGTGGCAGATGCCAGCCACTCTTCACTAACGATGAAGTTATTTCATGGTATCTTTTGGTCTCTCTTCTCTCTTTTCCCAATGTTCTTAAAGTTGAGAGCATCCGAAAATGAGGAAGTGCCAAAACCTGTTCCCCACTACTTGTGTACACAGCCAATGGATTTCTCTGTAAGAAAAAAACAAATACATTTGAGTTTCTGGTGATGTCAGAGCCCGTTTCTGCAACTCTCGCCTAGACCCACCTCATTCTGAAGGACAAGTGGTTTGCTCAAGGCCTGAGGGCATCTGGGAAGACTTCAGGCTGGGTGCTTTGGTAACCTCCACTTGTACATGTGTAGAATTGTACATGCTTGCGCAGGATATTTGAAGCAGCAGTTTAACTCCCTACACACTTTAAAAATAAAGTTCACAGGTGTTAGGACTCAATTTTGCCCCACTGGGACAAAGAGACTTTGAGGATGCCCATTCCAGCATTCGTACATCTCAATCAGAGGCCCTGGAGACAAGAACTCGACCCCAAAGGAAGATCATTGCCATGGCAAGTGTCCAGATCAATACAGAAAAACAGTGGTTTACACTTAGTGCTTGAGCAGGAAGGATGTGAAGTTGCAGTCCAGCAGAAAGCCTTGAGAACCCCTGTGCTAAAGCTTTAACTGTCTTCACATGCGCCAGACTCAGAGCAAAATCCAGACTGGGCTTTCTGGGGTTTTATAGAATCATAGAATGGTTTGGGTTGGAAGGGACCTCAAAGATCATTTAGTTCCAACCCCCCTGCCATGGGCAGGGAAACCCTCCACTACACCACGTTGCCCAAAGCCTCATCCAACCTGGCCTTGAACACCTTCAGGGATGGGGCATCCACAACTTCAAACATCTACAACTTAATCCTTAAAGGTGGAAGAGGTTTCCTCAAACCATTTTTTAAGCCTTGCAAAACTGACCTTCCAGTCACAGCATTGTCATATTTTACTTGAAAGATGGTAATCAGTCCTTGCAAAGGCTGATATACTTTCTATTGCTCTAAAAGATGTCTCAGCTCTTTGGCATGTGTTGCAGATGTAGGTCAACAAGCTGCACCCAATGGCCACAGGGCAGGACAGCACATCATGTGAGGGTGGTACTCTCCTTCACCTCATGACATTTTGCTGTGTGTTCCATCCCTTTGCAGCCTGTGGAAATGTAGATGGGTTAAAAAAAAATATCTTTTCTGTGATGCTTCCGTCATGGGATCCTTTTAAATAACCTTGCACTGTTTTCTGAGGTTGGAGAGATGTAGAACCACTCCATTACTGCTTGTCACAGAGACACCAGTTAAATATCAGGCCAAAATAAAGTCAAAGCCTGAACAGAGGATTCTGTAACAGCTTAGACTTAGGCAGTCACTGAAGTCGGTGTTAGGCTCTAATTGAATTGTATCCAGTCCGAGCTTCATTGCACCAACCCCTCCAGTCCATGGAGAAGAGAAGCTCTAGAAGGTGAGTCAGCCCAAAATCAGATTCCTTCCAGAGGTGCCTTTCTGGTTCTGCTGGACCAGGCTGTCAACTTGGACCTCCCAACAGGACAACTGCAGCCTGGCAGGCAGTGCTGGAGTGCCGCTGGCAGTGACTGCAGGCACCGGGTCCTGCAGGACCGAGAGCCGAAGTGCCCAACATCAAGAAGAAAAGCAGAGCACCCTGAAAGGGGTTTCAGTCCAGTGACTCTCATGAAATCCTTGTTTGTGAAGTATGAAACGCGGGGGGCATCTGTGCTCACAGTTTGTGCAGCTGGCCATCATGTTTAATTAGAACGGTTAACAGGAATTTTTTAAATGCCAGTGCTGTTTGTACAGTTTAATAAAATGTTGTGTACAACTGGAAAGGGCACGGAAGTGATTAAATAGAGACGAAGAACAGAGGTGCTTAGAAAAGCCATTAAAATGCCTCTGTGCTTTCTGGGGGATGTCCCCCAGGGGAATTTCGACCCGTAAATACACAGGTTTGGGAAGCGTTTGAATGCCTTCAACTACTCCACAGATCGGTGTCTAAAACAAGGATTCGGTGCTGTGCAAAGGTATCCAAGAAAAGAGTAAAACGTTCCTTTTCACTACCAGAAGGGGACACAGCTGTAAATAGGGTTTAGTATCTCAAAGGGGTTGCAGAGCCAGATGTGTCAGAGCCAGAGGGTCCAGAGGAGGGCCACGAAGATGATAAGAGGGCTGGAGCACCTTTCCTATGAGGACAGGCTGAAAGAGTTGGGGCTGTTCAGCCTGGAGAAGAGGAGGCTCCGGGGTGACCTTATAGCGGTCTTCCAGTACCTCAAGGGGGCCTACAAGAAAGATGGGGAGAGGCTGTTCAGGAGGGCCAGTTGTGATAGGACAAGGGGTAATGGTTTTAAAATAGAGGGAGGTAGATTCAGGTTGGATATTAGGAAAAAATTTTTTACCATGAGAGTTGTAGAACACTGGAACAGGTTGCCCAGAGACAAGGTGGATGCTCCATCCCTGGAGAAGTTCAAGGCCAGGTTGGATGAGGCCCTGAGCAACCTGATCTAGTTGGAAATATCCCTCTTCCTTGCAGGGGGGTTGGACTAGATGACCTTTGAAGGTCCCTTCCAGCCCTGACCATTCTATGATTCTATGATTCTATGTGTAGAGGTCGTTACTATTAGAGGGCGGTTCGGACCACCTTTCTTTGAGACCTCAATGAGACTGGATCAGCCAAGTCCTGGGAGGGCCCGACGCTGTCCACATACTATGGATGGAGTCTAGATGGCCTGATCCAGACTAGAGATTGCATTTCTAAGCATTAGAAGATTGGCAGTATCCCACTCCAAATGACTGTTGGGGCTGTCTTCTTTGCCACGGCACAGTGGTTTGTGCTTGACACCAACGCAGGGGCACCCCAAGAGTGTAGCCTAAGGAAGAAGGGTGCTGAATCACCTCTTGTGGTTAAGTAACTGAAGAGCAACAGGGTTTAACACCTCTCTGGCCAGAGGTAGGGCCCTCTGCACTCCAGCTGTGGTCCCGCTTAGCTAAAGCAGCCAAACTGAGAGTGACTTGTAAGCGAGCACGTTTGAGTAACTGCTCAAGCAGACATGGTGTCAGGCTTACTGTGGGGCTTTTGGCACAAACCACAAAAAGCAGCACCTGCTTCTCTCTGCAAGGTGTCTTCAGCTTAAAAACCCAAGAAACTCATTGAGGATGGGGTGAGGGAGATGGGGAGAGGTGGGTACAAGCCACCACGAATGTGCGTGCCGTGTGTCTCAGCAGTGCCACAGCCTGAAAACCCTCCCAGCTGTGCCTGTGGTGTGCGAAGAGTGACGTGGTAAGCAGCAAACGTCTTCCTGTGGTGACAGTGATGGAGAGATAGGAGCCAGTGAGGGCTGAAAGCCAAACACCGGCACGGAAATGAGCAGGAACCCATCACAGAGGTGCTGTTTTGCCTTGGCTAAATGTGGCACCTCCATACCTGTCTTGTCTTTCCTTCTTGTTTTTTTTTTGCTTTCTTTCCCCTTCTCCATAAAATGTTCATTTTATTTCTAGCCAGATGGGGCTGGCTAGATTTCGTTATTCATTCAGTCCTGTTTGGAAGCCTCATGGGATCACAGCACTGCTGTAGGAGCATGGCACCTGCAAACATCAGGGTCTGACCTCCAGCACCATCTGCTTCAGCTCAAGTTTTCAGAGTCAAACTCAACTTCTTCTTCCCCAGTCTTGCTGCTTCGCTTGACAGATGTGCAAATTCCTGCTTGTGGGTGTTCACCAAACTAAACCTCGGGCTGATAAATAGGTCAGGATGAGAGGGAGTCACCAGTGAGCGACAACTCTGATTTCAGCCCTCTTGCAAAGACCTTCAAAGTGCTTTCCAGAAGAGGTTGGTTGGTCTCACAGCTCCTCAGCAGCCCAGGAGTATGGTTGCCTCTCCCACAGGGAAGACCGAGCTCCATCCTGCACCCCACAACGCTCTTTACTGCCCATGCAGAAAGGAAAGACAACTTTGTCCAGTAGTTACCAGGTACATCTTTCAGTGGAGACATAGCACCAAAAGTCACTGTCTGCCAGCACGGCTCCAAATAGTGGGTACTGCAAGTAGGTGTGCTCCTCCCTTTACGATTGTATTTGTACCTTAGGCACTTAAAACCCAAGAGAAATATCACAGCTGGGACCTAAACTGCTCTCTCACTCCAAGAGACCCCAGCTCAGCTAGCGTACCACCTATAGCAGCTACGATCGTAATCAGTATGTGGCCCAAAGCATGCCTTGCAGTGTTGTGAAGCCAGCAGAGGTCTCAGTGAAGACCACAGGAAGCTTTTCTACCTTCCTTGCTTATGAAGAAGTTTTATCTTTGCTATATCACAGCAACCAAGATAGCGCATGAAGAGCTGACAAAATACAGGAATTAATGTATTTCTGGCTCTTCTGTAACTGGCATTGGTTGCAAGCCAGTGGTCCTGTACAGCTCAGAGACCTGTACCTGACATGCTGGGGTCCAGTCTACTGTTTGGTAACAGGTGTGATGGAATCCTTTGTCCTCTATATTACCTTAATGTTTATATACACAAGGATGTGAAATAATGGAAAAATAAAAGGGAAGTGAAGCAAAGAAAAAATAGATTTCATAGATTTCTAGGTTGGAAAAGACCTTAGAGATCATCCAGTCCAACCGTCCCTAATCCCCCATTAAACCATATCCCTAAGTAGTTCATCCACCCTTTTCTTAAACACATCCAGGGATGGGGACTCAACCATGTCAAGATGTGGAAGATGAAACAAGCATGGAAAAGGAAAGTAGGGAAGAAAAGAAGGATCCAGGTTGATATAATCTTATGCAACACTTCCCTTCATTCAATGGTTTCAGTTACAACTTTGCTGTTTTTCTTCAAAGCCACCAGTACCATCCTAGAGTTGCTTTTGTAGCTGAAGTACAGGATTTCCAGAGATTTCAGAGGCTGGGAGAGTCTGAGACCAGAGCAGGTGAATGGCTCTAATCTGGGCTGCTGGGTGACACTGAGCAGCCACTCCTACTCTGACATCTCCCCTAGAAATCCAAGTA